ATGTCTCGGTGATGTTCGCGACGAACGGATAGCGAAGTGAAAAATATCGATGACTAATTCGTGTAGACGTATACACGCCGGTTACATCGCGATCAAGTTACATATCTCAGTGTCGGCCTTTTTGGCAGCTCGTCTCTCATAGATGATAAACAATACAATTTCGATAGCAAAATACAGAGTTTTCGCTAATGTAAAAATAAGAAACTTAACCTACATTTTAAATTACTTAATCAATTTATATATGAAAAAAAAGAAACTTTCCGATTAGTTCTATTTATCGAGACGATAAAAACGAACGTGTGATCATCGATTTGTAAAATCGACCGTGATCCGTCGATTTTCTATGCTGGAATGCTGTTTAAGGTACGTACAGAGATCGGTCGCTTATACCGTGTACGTAGCCGACGATAAAAAAAAAAAAAGAATGCAGAGATACTTGTAGAGTCCTTGTCCGAAAGCGCAGCGCGAGTTGTCGAGAGCCGCGCACACGTGGGCGCCGTAACCTTATAAGGACGTCCGTAAGGAGCCTCACTCCGGCTCACCAAACCTCACCTTGTCTTATCTTATCTTACGTCATTTGCCGTCCCTGTCCGTCGAATCGAATGCTCTAGTGTTCTGCATCCCCATGAAACAAATCATTCGCTCGCTTCATTACTGCGTGTAGCCCAAATTCCACTTTCCCTTGTTGTCACAATATTGCTACAATTTTTTTTATTTTATCACACATCCGTATACACGCTGAAACGTCCGCGTTTGTTACTCTTCGGATCCTGGCAAACACATGTGTTCGAAATCAAATAAATTTTATTTTATTCGAAATAAAATTAGTGTTTGTTGAAAAAAAAAAAATGTGTGCGCGACTTGCGTTTAGTTTCGCACGTGGATCTGACGCATTGAAATTTTTATGTGACTTTAATATATTTTCTTCTTTAAATATTTTTATTTCCCTTTCCCGTAATTTTTTTCTAATAATTTAGATGCTTTTGTACATCGAACATTCAAATTTAAATAAAAAATTCAATTCAACTTATTATCTGCTCTCAAAGTTTGGAAGAAGTGCTTCAACAATCTGAAAACTTCATCCTCGACCTCGTACACCAACTTACTTAAGAGATCGCTTCGCTTCGCTCCACGCTTAATTTCCTCTTATGCGCCTACGCGTATATGTTTCGATCTCTCAAGCGCCTCGAGAGGAGGAAAGGTGATTGGCGAGGAAAATTTGCGTACGCGCGTGTGTCCTCATAGGTGCCGCCTACGAGTCCAAGAGTGTTACACGCACGAAACTGGAACGACCGCGCGATAGAAAGTAAATCGCCAGACCGCCATCACAATGGTCAGCGTCTTTTCATATGCGTGTTATTTTTTTTTTAATCGATAACCGGCGAAACAGGAAGCGAAACTGTCGATTCCACATCCAACGAACGATTAAAGCTATGAAACGCTCACACTCGCGTGACACACCGACTCTGTTTAACGGCGTGAATGTGTTGGTGACGCGCATCGATCTCTCTCGCTGCATATCGCGCGCATCGATTTTCAGCAAACTATAATTTTTGCCGGACGGAAAATTCCTTCGAACGCTGCAAGCGTTGAGTTTTTCACTCGATTTTCAATTGAATTCCGATCGATATCGCAAATTGCGGCTTTTATTCAAAGTCAGGTAGTTTTGTCGAAAAATGTTATCGTGTGACATAGAGTTTGGGATCGGGAGATATAGAATGTACTTTATATGCGCAGTAGCCGCGTGCCGAGCGGATAGTCATTCATCCTCTCTGTAAAATGAAGTATATAATTTTTTTTTCCAAGAATATAGACTCACTCCGCGGCGGATGAAACTCAAAGAAAATTACAGACGTCACAGAGAGACGCGAATATATTAAAGATCGATCTCGTTGTAGATTTATATATCGCGTTGTAACGCGAGAAAAGCGACACCTTTTGCTTTTGGCGTTTCGCCAAGGCGTGCTCGACGCTGGTCTTCATCGGTGTTGCGAGAAATATGATTTCTGAAAATTGCAAGCGCCACTTTGTAAAACGAAAGAGTGTTTCGTACACACAAAACGCGCACAATAATGTTGTACAATCTCGTGACAAAACGAAACGGGTGCTCGAAAACGCGATAATTGTTGCATAGTTACGCGAAGCACCGTTCGTTTCGCAGATAAAATTACAAATTATGACGGCGTCTGTGTGTAATTACGCACATATTAGTATGCACATTCAAAAGTACTGTTACGAATTTACTGTTACTCTTTATGCTGGTACAGACACAAGATAGTTTTCGACAATGTCATCTTTGTAAATTGAGGAAAGAGCGCAAAGTTTTAAATGATGCGTTTTTATAAATCTCAACAAATTATTGTTCAATCGAGACGCGAGCAAACACGCGTGCAACAACAAGATTTGTTTTTGTCAGAATTCGTATTCACGCGTGGTCTTCACGTGCGAATGTGTAATTGTGGACGCGGATTATTTTTAAAACCTGCGTACGAAGCAGGATGACATAATAACTTTTGTAACTTTTTGTTGTGTGTGTAGCGCGTCCTGAAACGGCGTTATTTATTATTGAAGGTATGCGAACATATACGTAGACCATGTAACCTAGTCCAATCTCGCCGAACATAAGAGCCAGCTGTTCGGTGCTAGTGCCGTTGGTAACCTAGCTTAGCCGAAGAAATTGGCTTTGTCTGGTCGGTAACAGGCTTGAGTTCTCTGGTAAGTGGCGGTCCTCCGTGCCGTTGTCAAGAACTAAAGAACGTCGAGGTCGGTTTCTTGCCCACCCACGTGATATCTGCTCGCACATCTCCGTACAAAAGAAGCGAATTTAGCGCGAATATGAACCAGAGACTCGAGATTATTTGGAAAAAAAAAAACAGTCGGATGAGATATCGCTATTAAAATTTTTATAAAAAAAAGTAAATTTTCACATGGAAGTAAATTTTTGTGAAAGTCTTACGTCACATTTGTTCACTTACACATTTTCTCGTTCAAATTGTTTAACTTGCGAACTTTTGAACAATTGTTAAAGATTCAAATATTTCTTTCTTAATTCAGCTTCGAACTATATATTGTGTGATGCGCAAAGAAAAGAATTTGCAGGACACTTTGTGTAATAATTGACTTCTTGTAGTTATTTTATTTCCCCTGACAATTTCGCGGTAATGTTTGAAGTACGCGGACGAAATATTATTATTCCTTCTGGAGCCTGTTTTGTGTATATCAAACGATATAACACAACATCCTCCTTGTTCGTTTTACATACGACGGATCTGCGCGGCAGGAAGCCGCTGCTTAAATTTAATGTCCAATAGACCGAAGCGGATCCCCGAACCGAGCATTTTAATGCCCCGTTTAATCGCGACGCGACCGAAACGCATTTGAATCGAAATCGACACGTGCCGTTCGCGTCTCGCGACCGTTTATATTTCCGCAATGTTTTTAATCTTACGCGCGTGGAAATGCACAGATGATATTTAATCGCGCCGGAAACCCACGCAGTTAATTAACGTCAATCAGAATCAGATTGAATCGTCATTTTTGAGTTCAAGTGACTTGAAAAAACGTACGTATTCTGGCTTGCGCGATAAAAAAAACTTGCAATTTTATTTAAAACAAATAACATCGAACACACAAAATGTGTTTTTTTTACGGGGCTGAAGTAAGATAAAGACGAGGTTGAAGTAAGATATAAAATGAGGCAACCTCTTTTCTTTTCGATGTAAAAAAATGTGTAGGAGCTGAAGTCGGCGTTAGACGTGACGGGGAAGAAATACGGCGCGATCGTACCTGTCGAAGGGGCGAGCATTTCCGCGATGTAGCGGTCATCTGCATGGAGGACTCGACTTCCGAGTAAATAAATATGGGCTGGTACCATGTGGTCACGCATCGAGTGCCTCGAGTCACATATCGCGAATACTAGATGAGCTCCTCGGTGTTAGATATACATATCCTATGAGAGATCGCTGCCGATCGATCAAGCTTGGAGACATATTTCTCCCTTGAAGCTTGAAATCTGTCAACGTTTCTTTTACGTGTGACATAAGATACACCGTGAGTTACTTGGCTCGAACATGTTTGAAACAAAACGGTTTCTCTCATGGAAATTGAATATACTTGAAAAGCTTTTAACGAAATAATGTATCAATAGTTCAATTTTTTAAACAAATTGATATTTTATTTGTTATATCTTAGATATTTTTTTTATCGAGATATTTTTGTTTATACGGGACTGTTGTATGGTAAGTTACAATTAGCAAGAAGTGATTTGCTCAAACATAGTCAACTTGTTTTCTCTGCCGAAGAATCTGCTCTCGTAACAGATTTTGTACGTATATGTACATTTGTACATATTCCTGTAGGTTTTTTTTATTTCCCGTTTCTGAGTGCACCGAGCCAAGAAAGTCAGTCGCGAAAATTCGCACATTGCTGTCCGATCATTAACGAGGTTCCGTTAATGCTTCCTATTATCGTCCGCGGTGTAATTGACGATTCAAATCGGTCGCGCGTTGTTCAGTTCACCTTCAACCGACATCGCGCCGGCACGCTCGATTCCGCTCGCGAATCTTTGGGGCAATTTCTCGTCCTGAAATAACCCTTGAATTATTTGCTGTGTACGGTCGCTCGGGGGACTCTGCTGTTTATCGATTCTTCGAGTCACATTCGTGCCACGAGTCGCCGTAAAACACCACGAGTCGATCGCGACATTAACCTTGACGAGGGAGGCTGTAATTTAGACAAATTATCTTCTATTTGTTTTGTTATTACGTGAAATTTAGTTTTACACTTGAAACGAGGTTGACGTTGCAACTGTGTTTCTGATCGAATAATTCGAACGTGCGGATCGGGAATCGGTATCGCAACCGATAGTGCATAACGCACGGGTTCATCGAGGCGAGTCGAGAAGTTGTTAGCGGACCCCGAAGGTGGGGGGGCCCCGGCAAAAAATTTCTCGACCGGGCGTCAATAATAAATGCGTTTATGAAACGCAGCTCGGTGAACGTGTCAGTCGATTGGGTTGCGCCGACCGATGCTGATACCGCGAGAACATGGTGCCATCGTCGATTTTTCCCGACCGGTCGGTCTTGTTCAATTTGAAAACGCGTGAACTTTCGGCGGACGTTAATTATCTCGCCCTAGTTTCGCTCTATTAACTATTTCTCCGCGTTACACGCTTAGTATAGCGAGACTCCCGTGCCTGGATGTCACATGAGTGTTACACGTGCGATGAAAAATGTGATTTAACGTTCGCAAAGCTCATACGGTGTATAATAAAAAACTTAAAATTTTTATTTCCTATTTATATCTTGTTGTAATCGCGCGAGTGCTTGTAATAAAGTTGTTCGTTTTATTTTGAGCTAATTTCAAAAAAATTATGAATATTTTGTGGAACACATTATCACTTAGAATCAATTCTTCGTTATTCGGCTGTTATCGTTTGAAGATTACAAGTGAAACGTACCAGGCTGCCCTGCGTGTGAAAGTGCGTTTATTCTCGGATCCCGAAGAGCTGTTCGCTTTGGGGTGAATATGTTCCGAAGGATAATCGCGCCGATCGCGTCGAGGCAGCGCGGAAAAAAAAACGATCGCCACTTGCGGTCTTAAAAGCCTCTCTCCGCTTTTTTAAGATCGGGACGAAACGAGAATTCGACGAATTTACGCCGCTCCGTGTTTCGTGCGCGAAACGAACATCATTGTCCGGATTAAACCTGCACGTTCCTGAAGAGAGTCGAATCGATCGCGCGCGCGCGAGTCGTCACAGTTCGTTGCTGTCTTCGATGTAGTGTATAATATCTTCAGTGCTGTCTTCCGATGATAGGTTGTTTTTTTGTGCGAAATATGTAATCGCGTAAGGAATATAAAAGGAGGTCGTCATCGACGAAATGGTGTGAAAATCGTCGTATCAATCTTTCCATTGACTTTAAACGGGATAAATGGAGCGTGAACTGATACAGTGGCATTAGAGCAGATGGATATAACGATATATAATCTGTGAGAATCGGCAGAAAAAAATAGCGCACAGATATCTACCTTCTAAAAAAAAAAAAGGAAAAAAAAAGAAAATCCAATTTTCCTGACTTCAAGATAGATAATACGGTAAACTCTCATTATGGATTGGCTCTCTCTTTGCGTCTGTGCCACAAAGAGCGACGACGAGAAGCCGAAGAAGAATGAAAAACGCAAGAAAAAAAGCAAGAAATATAAAAAGCTTTCCAAGCAAAAGGAGTCGGACAAAGTGCCGTCGCTTTCCACTGACGAATCCTTACGCAAATCGCAAAATGAAGAGAAGGAAATCGAGAAAGAAGAAATCGCGGAAAAGAACCGGATGAATCGAGAAATTGTTGATCGCATTGGCGATCGCGCAAGAAGTGATCAGATCGATCCGACGAAAATCGACGACTCGCCGATCGATTCCTGGTCTTATCGATCCGATCGCGACGATTGTGAAAATTTCGACGAATCTTTGAAGGAAAACAGTGCGAATGAATCTGAGCGGAACATCTCACGTGGTATCGATTGCAACACGATGCATTTGACGTGTGCATCGAGCGCAGCTGACGAAGATGACGAGAAGCGGGTCAAGTGCATCTCGGATGAGAAGGAACGTGAGGAAGAGACCAATCTAGATGAATCCATGTCGAGATCGGTGGTCTCTGGTGAACCTGAAGACTCTTCATGGACGTCGGAAGACAGACAAGACGCGGTCGTTGAATCGAGTCTTGATAGGAAACTCAAGGAGAGAATCTCCTCCAGAATTAATTTTCCCAATAAAAACCAGAAAAGAGAGAGTCTTAAAGGTAGAACTTCGTTGAAAAAGCAATCCAGAAACGCTCTCCCGCCGATCAAACGAAGATCCGAGGAGACGCGCGGTTGCATAGATAGCGAGGAGATGGGAAGACACAAGGAAATGAATAAATTTGCTTTTAAGAATAACGCGCTGTTTTGCGAGCAAAGTGAGATTCGGCGGAAATTAAACTCGTGCAGCTTTGAAATTCGGCCGTTCGAAAACGAGGAGCGAGGAGAAAAAAAAATGCGAATCCGGGACGTGGGTTCCATGATACCTAGACTTTCATCACCCAGACAGGGGATAAACTCGATCAAAACCGACGGCAAATCGGAAATTGTGCAAAACGGTACATCGATTGCGCACCGCGAGTTTTTGTGCGGAATGCTAAATAAACACACACAAGTTAAAAATGTCATTCGCACACAAATTGCGTAATTTAATTACATACAAACAAACAACAATATTTACATTAAAATTGCATGACAATATTCTATTATTTCTTGCAGTTTATACTCGCCGTATTAAATATAGAATTATTTCAATTTGCTCCAAATACATGCCTTTTTTTCGATTTAGACTTCAATTTTTNTTNTTTTTTTTTTTTTTTTTTTTTTTTTTTTTATTTACTTAGAAACAGCGCATGTGCTCGCGATCGCTCGTATTATTACAATATAAATACATCCGCTTTATATCACTATTAGTTTTTATATAAATAGCCATGTAAAAAAAATTTGTGTTACAGGTCGCATTCACTCGGCAGTCGTCTCCGGTGTCAATTTAGATCAGCGCACCGTAACAGTAGAATGGTTCGAGAAGGGAGAAACCAAAGGCAAAGAGGTAACTACATTCATCAATTATTCAGTTCAATTTCAATTATCTCGGCGCATAAATTATTCCGTTTAGAAACAGAAAATTTTGCGATATGAAGAGAAGAAGTCTCTACTCAGTTCAGAATGCGCATCATGCGTCAAATGCATTTTCTATTTGACGTTTATGAAAAGAAAAAAAAAACGAACTGTCGCGCTACACATCCGACTGACTCTCTTGTAGTCTGTCTCCCTGCGTCGAAACTGCAATATTTCAATTCCGCACATCCGTAGGTCACGGTTATTTAGCTATTTTCAATTCCGAGCTTATGCAATGCCACGGGGCTTAACGTGCAGCCCGCTAATGGGAGCGCGAATCTATTTCCGACAGGCTTGAAAGTCAGGTCTACCGTCAGTCAAGCCGGTTCGGCCGAGCGTGGCTGCTTTTGCAAAAAGTCGTAACGCAATACAGCGCAACGATAAGACTTGTGAATTTCCGATCGCGAGTAAAATTATATTGCACAACACAATTTTATATATCTCGTTATTATCTTAACACTTCAAATTCCGAAGATAGCGCGAATTTTCGTTGCGGTTTGTTTCGCAATTTGTTGATAAGTCATAAATATAAATTTCAAGTAAAAAACAGTGTTGATTTTTTAAAATCTAGATTTTATTTTACAAAATTCATACAATCGCGAGATCTTCGATCTTAGTTTACGAAGTATGCATCATCAAAGTCTTATTCCACGTCGGAAGGTAATTTATTATAATTAACATAAGAAAATTTTATTTATATTGAGAACTGAAGAAAAATTGTATCACACACACACTTTCAAGTTATTTGTTTATTTTTTTGTATATTATATATTTTGTACACAATTTACCTAAAGTATATTCCATGAGAAAAAAATAATAATTAAATATTATGAAAGTTGAACAATGTGAAATGAGATTAAAACCGTGAATTTGTGTATCGTTTCAGGTGGAGATCGACGCGATTCTCGCTCTGAATCCCGATCTGAATCAAAATCCCGAAGTAAATCATAAGATGGGACCACCGGCGCCAGTAATGAACAACCACATGTTAGCGTCTTCGAGAGCAAGGGTACGTGTAGTTAAATCGATTTTATCAAAATAACAACAAATATTCGTAGTGTCAATTATCAAATCGAATTTTGTAAAACGAACTTTTTACACACTTTATGTATTTTGAGTGGCAGAAACGTAAAAGTCAGAAAGCTCGTATAGAAAAAAAAAAAAAAGAAATTAAATTATATAATTCTTCGAGATTTATATGTAAAAGTAGATTTGTATAAGAGCCTGTAGAAAATTTTACATCGAAAGTTACGTATAGATTTTGGACTGTAGGGAAATCAGGAAGTAAATGCTTCTCATGATCTGATAAATTCGGCGTAACAGCAGTACGTATGTACTACAATGGGCAAACTCGCGAAATTCTCGCAATTATTCAGACGTTGATCCGCGTGACGGCGCGCGTGCCACTTGGTTGGCGTGGAGTTTAACGTGTCCGCGCGTAAATTCCCGGTCGATCATCGACTGCAAAATTCTGTTTACCCGGTTGCCCGGGCTACGTGGAATAACCTCGCTCCTAATATGGAAAGAATAATCCGATCTCGCGTCTCGTAACGTTCACACCGCGATAGACATGTTCCAGTACCTGTACGTCTTCCAGGTAGGAATCCCCCCGTCACTCGTTAATTAGCCTCGTACGGGTCCTCGCACAGGTCCTCGTACATATTTGACGCGACGATGACACAACTGTCTTGATACTGTCATCTCATCTGCGGTCTTTTTGTCACGTGGAGCGTCAAAATAAAATTGTTGCAATTCTCATGAAATTTATGTCGTGCATTTATTGCTTTTTTCTGTTTGTTTTTTATTTCTGTGAAATTGAACGGAGACTCATTGGAATAGAGTTCTGGTTCTTTTTTCCGCTGGAGGTTATATAGAAGTTTGATAGATTTATAGTTCACTCTATCTTTCTCTCTCTCTCTCTTTCTCTCTCTCTCGTAATACTTGCGTTGACACATGACGGTCACAGTGCGTTCGGCATACAAGGTGTTTTCTAAATAAAAATTGTGAAAATTTAAAAATTAAGACAAAACATTGACACATTAAGATCGACTTTTGCAGCACTTACGTAAATTTTAATTAAATTTTAATTAATTTTATTTTAATTAAAAATGGGATATCGTGTCTCACCACGTATATCAAGTTGATGTTTAAAAAATGACAAAATCGATCGCAAAACTCGAGTTCGGAAGCTCGAGAGAACTCCCGAGAGGATCTAGAAACTATAAATTCTAGATACAACAAACGTTTCCTCAAAATAATTTTCGTAAAAACAAATCGACTGACAAAAGTTAAACAAAGTGTCGCGAGTCATTTCCACTCTACTAACATGGTGACATTTTTTCCCCCATGGACGCTGCTCATAATCACCGGATCTCGTGTCGACGATGGACCACCGACAACCATCCGGTCGATAACAAACCGAACTCGAATACGAAACTCACGTCGTCTCGGTCATCGTTCATCCAAAATTGCTGTCTTTCTTGAGGGCTTTCCCGCTCATCGATCCCCTCGACAATCGCGAATCAAATCTGTCCGCGTACGATTTACGTGAAAATAAAAAAAAAACAAAACTGACTGCGATAAGGAGCCGGACTCCTCGGCTGAGGAGGACGAGGGGGTTGACGAGTCGGAGAACCAAGAGGAGGGCTCCCTCGGACGCCACGGCGGTCACACCGCAAGAAACGGCCTCGCATCCGCAACGCTTCCTGTACGAGTCACATCTCGTCTCTCGGTAACGCGCACCTCTTCCTCCCCACCCATCATCGCAACAACAACAAATAACAATTTATTAACCGTAACACATAATCCCTCACAGCAATAGCAACCGTCTGCGATCCGAACAGATCTTAGCATCTCTGAGAAACACTTGGACGTCGACTTTTGTGACACCTTAACAATATCCCATCGCGACTTTTATCGCACTTTGAATAAGGAAGTAGGGGTGCACGACTAATTTATAATTTTTACGAGCGTTTTTCATTTCTACAAAACAGCTACATAACATTTTTACTATTGTCCAGAAATTCAAACGTGAACTACTTAATTTTACATACAATTGAAAAAATATTTCGTTAAGAATATTCACACAAATTTGACATTTATTTTGTCCCGCCGATCTTGTTTTCGTCTTACGATCTTTGTTAATCTAACTGGAAACACATTTAGCTGTTCTTGTCTGATTTAGCTTTCTGATCTGTGCTTCTGTCCCCTTCACTCGACACTTGCTAAGTTTTCTTTCCTTTTTTTTTTTGTATCTATATTATACACGAAAGCTCTGCTGACTCAAATACAACTTCGCACCGAATTAGCTTCGTCGGGGCACATGTAGATATTTCAAAAGTGACAAAGATATATATCTCATATTTCAAATACACCAAATAAATTCATTTTCTAAGTAACATATTTTGTTTTAAGAACACACATGAAACTGCTGAATGATTTGATACTGTGAACTATAATTTGCGCAAGCTTTTTTTTTTTTATATTATCGCTGAGAGCTTCGTCGCACGGAAAAAAGAGCGTACGCTTTCTCGCACCTTCTGTCACGAGTCGAATTTCACAAAATGCCAGAGCACCAATCGAACACTAATCTCTCTTCATCTCTTCCGCATTCGACCGGAGTCTCAATAGACGATCGACTGACAAGTCGGCGGAACTAGTTAGCGAGAATTCGCTACACTACAGTTTTTTTTGGTTACTTTTTCGTTCGCGTTTTATAACGAACGAGATGAAAAAAAATTGCGCGGTGTTTGCTCAGCAACGAGAGTGGGTCAAAAACCGTGTTATTATACGGATCGATATGCAGAGAGAACGCACACGCGGACGTGATTAACGGCCAGTCGATATAACGACTCGTATCTTGTCTTGAACGTCTGTCGGAACGCGTCAGATCCGAGCGAATTATTTCAAATACTCTTGTTGACAAGAAAAAAAAAACCTGTATCATACACTCGGCTTCGAAGGAAGCACGGTTTTTTATTTTTTTTTCATTTGCAGCGCACTTCTTTAGACGTAAGTCAGTTACTACACCTCTTTTCTTCGTTGCACGAAGAAATCAACAGCTATTCTCTTTAATCAACCGCTTGAACGTGATCCGTTTTCTTTTATTTTCAGCACTCGACCAGACCGTCTATTCCAGTGAAAGGTACGTGGCAACGACATATCGGCTTTTTCTTGTTATCCTGTTACATCTTGTGTTAAGCAAGCGCGTTAGTATAATATAGCAAGGCGTAGTCGTCGACGGAATTGTAATATAAAAATCAATCGTATTCGTAGTTTTTCATGTTTTTGCTGAATCTCGCGGAGAGAAAGAAAGAAAAAAAATAACAAGCGATGTCTGTATTTTCGTTTTTTTTTTTAAATAAAATTTACATTTTAAATCGAATCTCTTGCAACAATTTTAATTGCAACAATAAAACGCGTTTTAATTGCATTATCGAGAGTCGATGAATGGAATGTGATGAAACTGGGCTAATCGCATGCGCGTCTTACTTTGCGCATATTAAAGCTCTTCGAATCTCTTGTTCTTTGCGTTCGTCTTTATTGCATAAAGTTCTTGAAAAAAAAAAAAAAAAAAAAAAAAAGAGAGATTGATGAAGACCAATTTCTGCGGTCGCGCCGATAAAGCGTGTGTGACAGTTCCGGCGGTTCAAGTTCCGCGTTCAATTTCGTGGCTGGACTTGGTATGTTGCGGCGATCGCGTGTCGTTGTTATTTCACCCAGATAAAGCCAAGTAGCGACGAGAGTCACTGCACGTGTGTACGGTCGGACCGTGACTATCGATATTCGTGTAGCACAAGGGCAAGGACCCCTAGAGACGCGGAACGTACACCACTTGCGCGAGCTTCGGGGGGGTTGCCGCTGACCGGTCACTGTTCGATCTACCTGGCAGTGTGCGGACGCAACGTAACGTACGTAACTTCTCGCAAGAGGCCGATCGGTTTTTAAGAAATTCAAGAGATATCTCGCGCGCGCTCGCGTGTGTGTTGACTTCAACATGAGATTCGACCCGCTCGGCTATTGCTTTCGCAGAAAGAATAAGATCCGTGACTGCGAAAATGCAGACGTCGACAAACAGATCTTACCTATTCGGATCGAGGACGACGACGACGACGCCGGTAACTCGATCAATCTCATCTTTAAAGATAATCTAGAATGTGATTATTCTGCAATTTTTATCTTTTAGAATCGGAAAATAAATAAAAAAAAGTGCGCTATGTGAAAATTGTTTTTAAGTTTTATTATTTTGACATTTGAAGGACGATATTTTACTTCGGATCTCAATCGAAAGCCGAGTCACAGTTTTAAAGCTTAAAGAGGACAGTGCAGACGACATTAATCTTCGCGCTAAATGTTACAGCGACCTCGAACAGGCAACTGTCACGTCCGTCGGGTCGTCCGACCAACATAATGTCACCAGCTTCGTCTGTCAACGGTCACGGTGACGCGGTTGCTGGACTCACGGGACGTCGAGAAGTCGAAAACATACCACCGACACCTACAGCAGCGGTGACACAGTACAACCTTACCAGCTCGGTGCAAAATCGTCAGCAAAAAGCGCAACAGCAGCAGCAGCAGCAACAACAGCAGATGTTGTCGCAGGCTCAGGTGGAAAACGGTCGAGGTAGACGATCGAACGTTGTCAAGGAAGTCGAGAGATTGAAGAAAAACAGAGAAGAAAGAAGACAGCGACAGGCGGAGCTGAAGGAAGAGAAGGAAGCGCTTATGAATCTGGATCCTGGCAATCCGAATTGGGAGTTCCTAGCCATGATAAGGTTGGCGCGATTTTTTCTATTTGAAATACAAGCGTTTAAAAACTGTTCGAGTATTTTACGCGCGTTGGAATTACGTTCTTTGATAAATAATATTACATTTGTTAAGATATAATATGTTTCTCGTAGTTAAGATATGAAATATTGACGTTTTATTTATCGCAAATTGCACTTCCGCAGAGAATATCAAAACAGCATAGAGTTTAGGCCGTTGAGAGAATCTGACCCCGTAGAGGATCATCAAATTACCGTGTGCGTGAGGAAACGACCGCTCAACAAGAAGGAACATTCGCGCAAAGAGATTGACGTGATCAGTGTGCCTAGCAAGGATCAGATGGTTGTGCACGAGCCCAAGTCCAAGGTCGATCTCACTAAGTATCTGGAGAATCAGATCTTCAGATTTGATTACGCATTCGATGAGACATGTAACAACGAGATAGTCTACAAGTACACGGCCAAACCGCTGGTACAGACGATCTTTGAGGGTGGCATGGCTACGTGCTTCGCGTACGGTCAGACCGGTAGTGGCAAGACCCACACTATGGGCGGCGACTTCAACGGCAAAACGCAAGATTGCAAAAAAGGCATCTACGCCATGGTTGCCAAAGACGTATTCAAGTGCCTGAAATTGGCGAAGTATCGGCCCCTGAATCTGGTCATTTCCGCTAGTTTCTTCGAGATATACTCCGGCAAGGTATTCGACCTTCTGGCGGAAAAGGAGAAACTTAGGGTTCTAGAAGATGGCAAACAGCAGGTTTGTTTTTATATCAAGAACAGAAAACTTGAATTAATCTCTTTTTTCTTTTGATTTTCGTGTCTTTAGCCTCGTGCACGAATAGTTTTCGTCAGTTGACACACACATTATCTCCGCTTGTACTTTCAACGTATTTTTCACTTTTTATTGTATACGGCACTTTATCTTTTTGTACGAGGCAGCGAGATTCGAACCTGGTATCTCAACCAGACCAGCGTCATAAACACTGGCGCCAAACCACATTCTCGCTCCTTTATAAATTAATCTCAATCAGAAATAATAGTGTAAAACATATTTTTGTTATTGTTTATCATTTTATAATATTCCAAAACTTCTCTATCGATAGGTGCAAATAGTTGGATTAACAGAAAAGGTCGTGGAAACTTGTGACGAGGTATTAAAATTAATACAACATGGAAACAGCGCCAGAACAAGCGGTCAGACGAGCGCTAATTCCAACTCTTCGAGATCGCACGCGGTGTTTCAAATAATAGCGCGCATCCCGGGCACACACAAGGTGCACGGAAAGTTTTCGCTTATTGATCTTGCTGGCAATGAAAGAGGTGCTGACACGTCGTCTGCTAATAGACAAACTCGTGAGTATAGACATATATTCAATTGTCAACGATAACAAAGACTACGACAAAATACAGTCGTATAATCAATAGGACAAGCCAGCGCTTTCACGTAATTCCTGTTGTTATTGAAATTTTTAGGAATGGAAGGTGCTGAGATCAATAAATCCTTATTAGCGTTAAAAGAATGTATACGCGCGTTAAGCCGTAAGGGTACGCATTTGCCTTTTAGAGCGAGCAAACTGACTCAAGTGTTGAGGGACAGTTTCATCGGTGAAAAATCAAAGACTTGCATGGTAAATCATTCATTAATTAACATTGTCACATTATTAGAAGAGAAATAGAGATTAAAGCAAGCATAATTTTGTTTATAGATAGCGATGATTAGTCCCGGAATGAGTTCTTGCGAGCATTCCCTAAATACGTTGAGATACGCGGATCGAGTGAAGGAATTGGCGGCGACCGATCCTACAGAAATAAAAGCCTCACCGACGGAAGACGATCGGGGCATGAAGATCGAGGAACAAGCGAACAACAGCGTGTTATCAGATAGCGATTTGGCACAACTTCGATCTCTCAATGTGAGTGACAACATTCTCAGATGCATAAACATATGTTGTAAATATTTATATATATTGAAAATTGATTAATGATCGTGTAATGTTTAAATTACAAGTAATCATGTTTTTATCATGCAAATAAATTTCTCTTTTACAGGAAGGTGAGCTCTCGCAAGACTTGTACACCTTCCACGAAGCGGTGTCTGCTTTGCAGATGCTCGAAGAGGAAGTGTTGGATACGCACAAACTGGTCATGGATAACACGACCAAATTCCTCAATGACGCGCACAGCGTGTTCAGCGCGACTCATGAGGTGGATTACGACCAAGAAGGTGAGAGAAATTTATCGTTTGCACGTTTATTATGTTTTTCTATCGTTTGTTGCCGCTTTCAATTTTTTTTATACTGCATTGTACTGAACAGTGCATCTCTTCTCGTTATAAAAAAAAGACATAAAGAGACAACCGTTTTTGAAGTATTTTTTTAAACATATTATAAAAATCGGTTTTCAAAAACGGAATATTGAGATTAGAGTAGTTTGAATGCTTTCAATGTCGGATTATTATGCTTGCGAAACTACAAGGTAAATTTATAGGTCTGGTTATAAAATATGAAAAAAAAAAAAACTGTGTATATTAATCTATAAAATATAAATCGTTCTATAAAGGCGACAATCGCGTGTCGCTTTTTCGCACTTTTTGAGATTATTCTATCATTAACTTGTAGTAGAGACTCAAAAAAGAGTGCGAAATATTTTACCTGCCGGTATCACAGTGCATGGCATTTTATGACAGATTCACACAATAAGACTAAGGCAAATTCGATCGTCACGTTAAACCGCCAACGGAGAAGCAACGGCTCGACATTACCGATAAACAGCGACACAGACAGCGTATCAGACGCGGGAACAGTATTAAACGCAACAAAAATAGATTCTACAACCAGGGAGAAATTATTCAAGTCTCCTTGGGAAGATGAGATAAGATACAATCGTAGTTTAAACGACATCAAAAGAGATACGGATAATAGTTCTCCTCGTACTATAATTGTCAAGCACAATAAAAAGAAAAGCATGACACCCGGTCGAATTGTCGAAAAGAATTTAAACAATAAGGATACGATAAAATGCCCGATTAAGAAATGCTATCAAAGCCAACGGAGTAAGTTATCCACTGGCAAAAAGAAATTACAAAAATATAATTTGACCGGTACTTTTCATAAGAAAACAAACCTGGTTCCTAAAGAAACAAATCGTCGCAGCTCGTTTTATATATCAAGCGACGATTTCGTTACGAGCTCTGAAGTAGATGAAAATGATGAGCGTGATATAATCGACATTTGCATGAACAAATTCGATGGATCTAATTATTTTAGAGATTACGATATCGAACAAGATAAATGGGCATCACCGATAGCGTTTTCTGACGTTAACGTAACTTTAGAACAAAGAACGATGTGCGATCAGGATACGTATAACGTTGATTCGCATACGCGCAGTAATGTTAATAATGAAGATGAAGATAATTTTTTCAGCGGAAAGAAATTTGATACTTTTTCCATGAATAAATTTGATAGATCTAATTATTTTAGAGATTACGATGTCGAACATGATAAATGGGCATCGGCATTTTCTGACTTTAATGTAACTTTAGAACAGGAAATGACACGTAATCGGAATACGTACAACGTTGATTTGTGTGCAATCAATAATATTAACGAAGAAAATGAGGATAACCTTTCTAATGACAAGAAATTTGTCGATTCTTCGATGAGAAATAAAATAAAATTAAATTTCAAAACTCTGATTAATGACACAAAAAACACACGTCCGCTAGTTTTCTTGGGAAGTATTATTTTATTTTTACTGCTGGAATATATTTTATTGAGTATATGTTTTACTTATATAATGGAAATAGAAAGTAAATAATACATATAAGCGTAAAGTTATATTTTTTACGTTATCGGTGTATAAGCATTTATTTTTGTGATAGTAACATATTGAAAGTCAGGTTTTATGTCGCGTATTTAAAGAAATTATTATGTTATTAAAAAATCTTGCTTGGAATATTAACTATATAATTTTATTTTCAGTGAGAGAGTGTACATTTTTTCGAGTTTGAGCACTTGTGTTTGAGCTTGACTATGCGCACGTTTTTGAAATGTCTCTCGAATACTAATACTATTTGTGTGTGCTGTAGTGATATTATGTTAAATATACTTGCAATTGCATTTCTTCACAAAACGCAGAATTTATCGACATTTATCGTATTATTTTTTTTCTAAACTAATGATTTTTTAAACAAAAAAACTCGTTACAACATATAAATGTTACTTGTACATATCACGAAATCTCGTTATTTTATATTGTATGATAATTAAAACAGCGACTGATGTAAAAAAATCCAAATATGTATATATAACTTATAGTAGCATAGCAAAACTACTATTTGTTTTACATTGTGTTTTTATAATTGAACAATTTTTAAAAAACCGACGCTGTATTTGTACACCTATGAGAGAAATTTGATGTAATACGAGAAAACCTTACAGATTTGAGGCGGAAAAGAACAAAGTTTGAGTCACCCTACCTGAGGAGTTTCTCGTTGCGTAGACGTCTTATAGAGAGAAAACTATTTTCCGACGGTACGACAAATTATTCGATTAACAATTCTATAAGATAGTTTCAGAAAAGCAGCTTTTTTTTAATATGCACCATACGTATACTAATTATATGCGCGTCACATTATTCTCTCACCGATATCACACGCATTTCTCTTGTCAAATCTTATATATATTCCCAAAAATAATATTTTTCAACAATATCTTAAATTCTGCTTGAAGTTTGTGATCTATACTTTATAAGTTGCCACTATTATCAAATATAAAACTAGTGTATTGCGAAATTTAATGAAGCAATTGTGCAAAGTGCTTCAATTATTAATATAGAAAAAAAATATATTTGGAACGTACATAGTTTCTTTCAATATCTTACTCGCGTACACCGATGTTACCGTATAAACATCTGATATTTTTACACCATACTTAACAAAAATATTTTTACATATTATATTAAAATTTACATATCTTCTCTCTCTATCTTACATATTTTCCATAGAACGCAAACAAATGTCCTGGGAGGGTAAACTCAACATTTTTCTTTTCTTTTATTGATGTATATTGTTTATTGTGGTTATATAGTATTTGACTAAATATTATATATGTTATCACATAACATACACAGTTGTGTTAATAAAAATCAAATACTTTTGTACATATGCGCGTGTTATAAAAATTAAAGAAATGAATGACTTGACACATCGACAGTATTATTATATATAAAATATGATTAATGTGTTATATCAATGGAAATGTGAACACATAGCATTTTATGTATGTATGCACACAACTTAATTGCCTGTTACTAAATATTATTTTTGTGGATTATATCGAGCTAATAATACCAGCGTCATGTTAAACATAATCACATATAATTGTGTTTATATAGTGATTTGTTGAATCTGGCTTATGCTTAGCTTAAGCTTTAAAATGTATGATATATTTTATGTTTCATACAAGTCTCACACATTTTTCTGTAAATCCAAAGTGCTTTAAGATCAGCTTGTACATATATGTGCAATTATACAATAAAACATTAATATAGTTCTCATTCCAATTATTGATAATTGCTTTAATGTAACTTAGCAGCTTCTATTTACAGCCGGAGACAACATAGTTGTTGGGAGAAAGTAATTTAGATTTAAGCTGCTTCCACAATTTTATTATTATGGTTTAAATCACTCTAACGATTATCTTTCAATTATAACATTGTAATTCCTGTTCTCTTGGGTTTCATTGTCATATCGTAATTTTAACGAGATACTTGATATTAAAACACACAATATATGTGAACAATAGTTGGCACTACAGTTAAACGAAATAAACAAACAGCGATGACAATGAAATTCATCAACAATATATCCGTTTGTTGGCTAGGAGATTTAAGGAGATACTGTAAAAACTAAATGTGATGCTGAAAAAAAAAATAAAGCAGGGAGAATAGCTGTGTTCATTCGTATAATATGTCATCTTTGTGTATCCAATTTAATCCTTAACTATGCTAAGCCAATGTGTCTAATGCTCATTGGGTGCTCTGACGGGTGTGCGTGTTATCTGTTGCAGCATATGCCCAAAAGTGGGAGCAGCTGCTAATACAGCAACGTGACACTCTGAACGCCGCGCTCGACCAGGTCAGCCAGTTCCGCGGCCAGCTCCTGCAGGAGGAACAAATCAGCCAGAAGATGACCCGAATGCGCAACGTTTCCACGCGGTACAATTAAGGACGTTACTTTAGCGTACGCGAACAAAAAAAAAAAAAAAAGACAAAAGTAATTATCTTTCTCTTTCAATTCAATCTTTCTCACCGGTGAGAAAAGTCCGCTTCTTCTTATGTGTGTACGACAGTTTGATTACAAGCGCGCGAAAGGCAGATTATATATATTATATACATGACACTAGTACGACATATGGCAGTTATTGGTTTTGCAAAATGTAACAGACCTTCGTCTTGCCTTTGAAATTGCTACGAAATGTATATCAACGAGGAAGAGCAGAGTGCTCGACTCGTACGCGAAAAAAGAAAAGAATTCACTCTAGCGACCTTGTACTATATTATTATATAATGATTTTTTCTGAATGGTTCTCCGTAGCGCAAAACGACTGAGTATAAGAGGATAGATAGAGAGTGGAGAGAGGTATTTAATAAGCAGGCCAAAGTGTAGCAGGAATAACACGCAACAAACTTATATAGAAGTTTCTTTTGCAAGCGCGAACAAATTCTCAAGCTTTTGTTTTTTGTTTTTTTTTACGTATTGAATACGTCTGTCGTTACTCTGTGAGAATCGACGATAAAAAAAAGTTTTAGTATTTTATGGCTCTTTTTTTAGCATTGTAACTGTAGGAAATTTTTATGTGAATAATACACGGCCTTGTATACGCAAAGTATTAAAATACATTTACACGCATTTTATTTAAGTTCGAAACAAAGTTTTCACCAACTACGTATTTTTCGAAAGTATTATGATTTCACGCGCGGTTTACGCATACATTTTTCCGGCCCGCACCGAGAGACTATCATCGCAGAAATCTTTAAAGCCGTCAACGACGTCACATCGATTGCTCCATGTACCATTTGTCCGTCTTCGAAACACACAATGCACCACGCCGCGATTAAACATTTGCGTAAGCTACAAAATTGGATTAACACATATTTTTTAGGCTAATAGAAACGTATTGTCACAAGGGACCCGGTGTGCTATCGAACTGAAGAAAAGCCTGTAGTAATAAACCGATTTTTGCTAGGAAAGAAGAAAATATATCACCGGCAATTACTGTGTACACAACACTCATATTTACGTATATACACATACACACACATACAGGCGTAGTGATCGACATTCGTAAACCAAATAACGACTGATTTCGAAGAGAATGTAACTCTTAGCTCGTAAGAAAGAAACTGCACTGCGGCGCTTATCTGGAACCAGGATATTTAAGTTTTTTAGTATTAATATCGTCGACGGCGTGAAACGGTCATTTCTTACGTCTTACGTTATTGAAAGTATGAGATTAAAATTTTTATTTGATTTGTCACAACGTATATAATTCTTGTGTTTTCTTCCTCACTCTATTTAATCAACACATTGACAGAGAGCGATCTCTTAACGTGCGTGTAAGCTTCATTGCGAATACGTCCTAGAAAATACCGTCGATTTTTACCGGGATTTATAGTTACGGGGTAACATTACGCCCCAACCTTAACGCTCTATGGACACATCTTGTCTAGATAAAATAAAAATAAAAATAAAAATAAACGCTTTCTACAATCCGAAGTAATAAAAATTCTACTTTCTGATATCTTTTTACTTCTCTAAAGTCGCGATATTTAGTAACCATAGAGAGTTAAGAATATCAGCACGCGTACTTTTCTTACACATCTGTTTTGAACACAATTGTTCTAAACGCTCATGTTTTTCTGACGTACGCGTAAAAAATCCTCGTGCGTGGATTCGCCAATCAACAACAATAATCACGTACAATTTTAAATATATAAATGTGTATAGAGAAAAAACCATTTATCTTCTCTTCTAATTACAACTCGACACATTATTTTGTCTTAAAAAGCTTTTAAAGAAAAAGTCATTAAATAACGAGAATAATACGCGCAAGTAGAAATAAATGAGATATTGATATTTCTCTCTGTTGATCCGAGGTACAATTTTTATATAAATGTATAAAAAATTATTCGTCTATATATATTTATATATAAAACGCTCGAAGTTGTAAAGAAATCGTTTAAAAATTACTGTTAAATCAAAAGCAAATGAGATAGTTTATATATCTGCCGCCGATGGCACAGTTTTTACTTTAATTTAGCATACTTTATCAAATATTTATTATGACTCGAATCTGTGTGTATCATTATTACTTCATTTTTTCTATTTAAAGAAAAAATTTACGTTCTTCGTTACATATCCGCCGCAAATCAATCACCGCTAAATATGTGTGTCGCCTTAATCAACAAACATCAAACGTTGATGTAATTTATAACTACTGTAGCTCAAACATATAGACTAGTTCCTTCGTGGAGATTTATAATTGGCCAAGAACTTTTTTTAGACTGAAAAATCGCGTTTTACCAAGTCAAATATAGTATTTTTTTAATAGTGGCGTATAATAGCTCAACATAACCGAAGGGTATTAATATACTTCTTATTTTTTATAATTCAATAATTTTTATGCGAAAGAAGATGCGAATGAAATTAAACACGAGACAGACATATTCCTCGTTCCCGACCCCTCATCCCATTGTATGTGTCGTACTTAGTAGTCCCTGAATTACTCTAATTCGATGTGCACAGAGATTTTGGGTACGTGTGTGTGGGTGTAAGAGAGAGAGAGAGAGAGGTTTCACGTTGTTGCTTTATGAATGAAATAAATCAAATTGAAAAATAAATATTACGCTATACTGCTACATCCTGATCAAAATACAAAATTTGAACAAGTGTCTTTAGAAAATTTTTATAAATTTGCCAAAAACCCCACACCTAGTTTTGTTTCTATTTGCGTTGCGTCGCATTATTTTTGTTTCGTGAGTGATGACGAGAGGAGAAACAAGGGATCGTGTCATACAAACGTACAAATGCGAATCGAGAACCATCGTATTTAATTGCACATGGATTACACAGGTAGGCTATTAATTTTATTTCGTACTTAGAGCTGCACAAGACAAATGATTACCAAAAATGCATGTGTAGACATCATAGGCGTGATTAAAACGCGTTGTCCGTTGAGTGTGTGAATGCATATAAATTTTATATATCGAACAATACACAATCTGGTCACGAATAATCTTATTCTAAGAATCTCTCCGGGATCTCATACACACATTTACTGCCGAGCATCTGAATGTTTTTTTTGTCGAGCAACGACGATAAAATCATCTCTTTTTATACATTTAGCATACAGGGTACTTGGTTAAATAAATGTCGAAACACATTTAGACACATTTCCGCACAATAATGAAGTATACCCTGTACACAGCCTATTCAACTATCTATGCTAGGTTTTCGACAAGCAACATGTGTCCCCTTACCGTACAACATGTTACACATATAACACAACTATTCTTTTTCTTTTTACTACACACATTATACACACACACACATATATATATACATACATATATATATATACATATATATATATATATATATATATATATATATATATATATATATACATGATTAAAATATCGTTCTCTGTACATGTCTTTTTTAACGTAAAGAAAACAGAAACGTTGCGGCAAGGAAATAAAATGTATTACACACCGTGCTTGTGCGGCCGCGCGCCGAATTCTGTTTTAGTCTTACTCTATCGCGTCTCCTACAAAATAAAATTATTCTCTCACGGAGGAGGTGGTGGCTGTACAGATAGAGAAAAAATCTCGTGTGCCTACGTTGCCGCTGTCACGATGCAGCCACATGAGCGAGAAATTGTGCAAAGTGGGAAACTAATTCAATCATTTTCCCTAATAGGATATAACGTGGAATGGATTTCGAAGACACGTGTCGCGCTCTCGCACGAAAATTTATATGTACAGTCACTGAGAAATATCGCGAGCCCGTTTTCAAATCCTCTTTTGCGCGCGCGCGCGCACACACACACACACACATACACAGACACACACACAATCGCTTTATCTATTTATATATATTCCTCATGGCTCTTCTATAAAAGGAACCGAGCGCTGCTATATATAGACCCGATAAACAAATTTTCTAAAATCATACTGCGACATGTGTGAAAATAAAATTTATTTGTTTCACAAGTAAAATGTGTATATAATTAGTAATGTATATAATTTGATCAATTTGTATTAAATATATATACATATATGTAAGAAAAGTTATGCGTTTGTTTTTAATATATTTGGTTGCGTACAAAAGCGTTCGATTTCTTTTATAAATCTTTGCAAGGCACGCGAGAATTTTCGAAAAAGCTTCAAACTCAAAACCTGATTCTAACAATTTATACATTGAATCGCGCCATCATCGCGAATAAATATATCGGACAACTAAGAATCAACATTAGGCACAACGTTCAATGCTAACTCGTACACATAGTGCGCACAACATATTGTGACGTTACAGCGTAAAAAAATTCGAAGCTGTATTATATTTATTTTTCAAATGAACATTTTGAGATTTCTACAATTGTTTCCCGATAAAAAAAACTTTGTGCGCTCCTAGATACAATATTCTTGCTACTTTTGTACACTCGTCAGAAAAGTCGCATTATATATAATAATGTCTTACATGCATAACTACGTAATGTAAAAGGCATCCAAGGCACGAACTTGGGCGGCAACAAAGCAATGTTTCATCTTTGAGAAGATTACGCACGCACGCACGCACGCAGGCACGCGCACGCACACATACACACACAAACATACACAACTATTTCAGAAACATCGAATAAGTCCCATTTCGAAGATCATGTTCTAAATATTAGACAAGATTGCTTTGTAAACGGGCTTCGCGAATAATTCACAATATAATTCACTTAGCAAGAAAATAAAAGACGACGAGAACATGAAATAGCTGTAAATATAAGCTGTAAGAGTAGTCTTGCATATGAGAAACTATACACATATATGTATACGCACACTTAACACTACAGTAATGCATCGTGCTCGTGACAAAACTCAATGAAACTGAACAAATGTCACATTCTTCGTTGATTTCGATAGTTCATCGACAGAAATTACGACGCAGAATAATCGCTATGAGACTTTTAACTTCGTATGTTCGTCTCAATGAAATTCTCATGCAAAATTTGATCACATCTCGCAGAAAGAAATAAACCGGAAAACGAATCAAAATAAATCATCCAGCGGTGTTTTTCCGCTGCCAATTTTAAATTTTCCGTTTACGGAACGTCGAGTACCGATTCTCTCAAACAAGATTCGACCCAAGGTCTAATTACTATTGCATAAAACAATAAAATTTTTATCGCACTTATACCAAGCAGAACATATTTAATATAATATCGTATCTTTTGTTTTTCCGTAATTTTCGATTATTGTCTCCTCATTATTTATATAAGTAGCGCAAGTACGCAACACTTAGAAAATAACTTGATTAATGTTTGTACCAACCATTATTGGTAACTTTAGAAATTTGAAGTCAATCTTTTTTGTTTCACAAATATATATACATATAGATGTTAGTATAATCTAATATAATCATATATAATCCAATTCTCTCTAAGTTATATTTTAATTTCTTTTATCATTTTGTTTAATTAGGCAAATACGCATCTCTTATTTCCTTAGTACTTTCTTTTGTTTATCAAAACTTTCTTGTTTTTTGTTTTATCAAAACTTTGCTAAGTTAGTTGAATAGCAAACGCCGCGTTCAATAGAACACAACACACGTTGTGATGTTTCTCAATTGTTAAACGTTTCGGCGAATGAGAAAGAAAGGCTAATCAAGAAACTCCAACCGTTGAGAAACATTGCAACTCCCGTTGCGCGACCAATGATTATAACTAGGCACGTCGGTAAACAAATGACAGCAAACGGCAGTGAAACAAGGTAGTATATTGTCTAGTTTTAGGCACTGTTTAAATACAGACCTGATAGATTCTTGCAGTTTGTTGTAAATCGATTTTATGGCCTAAACTCCGAAAGTGGTCCGAAAAATTCTATCAGCTCTGATTTAATATCTGACCGCTACTACAAAGACATCGATGTACTTTCCAAGATACCACTGATTGCACTTTGAGAACACGATTGCGCACAAAACAAGAATTGCAGTTTTCTGATAAAATATCACAATGCTTAAAATTAATGTATGCAAATATTCTATTCTCTTTTGGCACCTTTTGTAATGTAAAAAAGTAATAAAAGTGATATCAACTCCAATTAATTAAAAATGAAAGTAACTCTTTTTTTTTAGTCAAGCAACACACTCTTAAATCGAGCTAATAACATATTGATCGACGACGTCTTCGTTACACATATATATATGTATGACACAAATTTTCTTATATAGAATATATATATATATGTACATAAGATTTTAGTTTTACATTAAATTTTATATATAGTACGTATACACACATAAAATACATATTATATATACATATATATATATATATATATATATATATTATATAATACATGTTATATAATTTATACATATATATAAAATATATATGCGTGTATGTATAAAATTTGATATTTTAATTTTTGTTTATAACACGCGAGAGAGATTATCTAATTGAATATTTTCAAGAATTAAAAAATACAAGAAAGCATCGTATGAATTGGTGCGCAGTATCAGCTAAATTGAGAAGAGTACAATGCAATTTATTCTTACGCACAGATGGAGCAAGCGTGAATCATCTTTCTACAGATTAATGTACTCGACGTTTAAATATATCATCGGACGCAGTTAACTTCCGGTAGTCAACGTGAGATCAGCATCCGACACATTAATTGAAACATAGATCGCATTGTTTTCAATCATCAAAAGCGCTACATCATGCGAGTAGTTATTTAGTAATAAAAATCTTGACTTATATATAGATCTATGTAGACGTAAATGTACTTTTTGAAACACGCACACACATATGTAACTTAACAGATACATAATCATTTACACTTTTCCGTTATCAAGAAAAAAACTTTTTTTCCACATAATTTGGAGAACTTACTTTCTTTGTCAAGCAGCTGTAATAGTTACGATTTCGTTCTTTTTTTTTATCGTTACAATAAATCTTAAAATCATCTAATAAACGATTTGCAAATAAAACACTGACAAATATCTCTATAAGTCTCCATATAAAATAAACTATTATATAACTAATGCATAGAGATTTGAAAAATATTTCTTCTTATGCACATATATAATTGTTATTATCTTTATGTAATGTTTTCCTAGATAACAGCCAAACAGTTTTATAGGTTCTACGCATGGGTAGATATAATCGGCACTCACGATAATTCCCAGAGATCACCATGTTACATACTATTTGTGCACAAGTTTTTCTTACAACTTTGTATACTCTTTCTAAATATTTGTCTCAATATATGTAATTATCTCTTGTTTTTATAGCTTTTATGTAAGCATTACATATCTTACAGCTGTAACTAATCTTGTCGAGCATAATTATGTAAAGTCTCGATAATTTTCACATATTTACGGCGAGAAAGAGACCAACATTTCTAGATTTAGAAACATTATGCATCAAAATTACTTGTCCTTTCCTCTTAATGTATATTGCATGCATGGTTACTGCACGTTATGACACAGAACTTATGGCATTGTGAGGTGGGCCCATTTGAGTTAACACTTTGTCTAACCATTGCAAAGGTCCGTGCAAATGTGCCTCGATCCAACAAGGCGTAGATGTAACATCCTGCCTGTGATATTCAGCACCCCATCCTTTCACGAAAGACATTCTATAATAATAAACACATTTTGTATTGTTAAACAATAATTTTATTTATTACATAAAAGTTAAAATGATACGGTAAATATTACAAATTGAAAGTACCTGATCGTACACATTTTTGTCAGCTCATAAACAGCTTCGAAACCATGATTCACACTTTGCGAAAGAAGCTGGGCAAATTCCTGATTGTTAAATATCTTCAACGAACATCCCGGCGGAATTTTGCAAACTGTACTAGGATGAAAACCATGATGATGATTACAGTTTCTAGACTGCACGAATATTGCCGAGTCCGAAAGACACTCGGCATAGACTTCGCCCCCAACATAGTACAGATGCACGCCCTTGCCTATGTGCCGCCTTGTGTTCTCTATTGTGGAATTTCGATTTACATTAGACAGCTGTCCGAGGCAGAAGCGATCAGAGTTGTTACTTGGATTTGTAAAGCCATCGATGACCACGGAATGCGTTTGACAATGAAACACTTCACCTACTCGACAATTCAGCTCGTAATAAGCGATCGAAGCCCAATAAGGCGGTTCTTGGTAACAAACGGGAGTAGCTGTTTCGATTGACGTAGTGGTATCCATCGGAACAGTATCCGAGGGTGAAGTTTGCCCGGTCTGCGATCCGTCTTCCGGCGGTGAATAAGCTGGTGGTGGTGTTTCCGGCAATCCATTAGTGCCGTACGGACTCTGCGGATTCGGTAGCGTTGCGCTACCCGGGCTTGGAACCGAACCAACCGAAGACATGGGCGATGTGGGATTAACCGCACCTGTGGATCCAGTATTGTTGAAGCCGCTCGACGAGTAGGACACATTGTGCGGCATACTCGGATCGGTCAATTGTTGAAATGGCAACAGTGAGTGGCCAGGAGCATATTCCGAATGTCTAGGAACCAATACCGGTGGTAGCACAGGGCTTTCCACTCTCTTGTAGTGGTAAGGATTAATGCAAACTTCTTTTTGCTTGGCGGAAAAGGGATATTGACACAGTTCTAACGGCTTTAGCTCGTGATGCGATTGCAAATCTGGCCATCGCCAAACTCTGCAGTATATCACATGTGGCAGACCTTTTCGATGCGAAACTTGCAATCTGCCATCTAAGCTTCTAGGAATTGTCACGCATTTACTTGGAGTGCCAGGACAGCTTAATGCTCGTTCCAATTCTTCAATTGCACCTTTGCGTTTCTTCAGTTTTTTCACTAAAGAGTCTACTGCTTTTTCCGCCCACTTTTCTTCTTCATCACCTTGTTTCCAACCGAGCAGTTTTTTCACTGCTGGACTGGTAAATGAAAATAAACTGTTTAATGAAGACATTGGTCCAGAACTGGAAGTTCCTTCTTCATCATCCATATTTGAAAATTGGTGCGTTAATTGAACGCTAGGACTAGGCAAAAGTGCTGCCTAGATTTATAAGGAATATATTCCTTCATCAGCAATCTAAAATCATATAGATAATACTTTATTTATTTTTTAATACAAAAATTTCATTTTATTTAATTTTAAAAGAGTAACATGTTATATATTTACAATACAGACACTATCTTTTTCCCAGAATTATTGATTTATTTATTACTTAAATTTAATAATTTGTAAATATTCATATAAATTACTTTTCCTAACAAAAACTATAACAATTTTTTTATTTGAATTTATAAAGATACAACTGCAAATAAAGATATACTGCAAATTACTTAAAAATACATATATTTAATTTTACACAAGGTTTTATATTCTTTATTGTATTTTTATATATTTTATATATGTATATACACACTGTAGACAACACCACTGGACAAAGCATGAATTTGGACTCATCGTCAGTCGCCGATCTGAATTTTTGTGATGCTATTTTTATAGGAATATGAGAGTTTTGGTATGTCTCCTCCCACTGCTATGTTAACTCACTGACAAAGAACAAAATCCCATAAATATTGTAATTTGTTGTTAAATCAGAATGAAGGTAATAGAAGCAAAATTCAAATTATTTATTTTATTTTTTTTTCAAACAGTTTCAAAACATTGAATTTTATATAAATGATAATTTGAAAAAAAATATATATATATATTGAAAGCACACATTGAAATATTCTATAGTAAGATCAATCAATTAATCTCAAGTTGTACATAAAACACTATCTCTCACACAGATTTGCTGATTAAAATTGTTTAATCTTGCTGTGTTTACTTACTACTAACGCGCTATTCTTGAGATTTGGACGATTGCTCTTAACTTAACAAGCGCGCAAAGTGAGAGAAATGAAGTTTTAACGCAAACGCGCAAATCAAGTAGACCAGCAAACAGATTTGCACCGCGCGCGAGGTTAATTGCACTGCGTGGTGCGCGGGTCTTTCGCGAGAAGAGATCGCCAGGCTGCTGCGGCATATAATATAAAAAAAACTGACGCGCACCGGAAGCACATACAGCCTACACCCTTCCTCGAATCGGCACGCGAAAACACACACCATGCGCGCCGATACGCGCTTTCTCATTCGGGATACTCGTTCACTTACGCGCGACTCCCAGGCTCTATTCAGCGTTGTTTTTACCACTGTCTCCCACTCCCGCGGTCTATCGCCCTCGACGCCACGCTCTTCGCCATTATGATATTCCTCTCGACCAGCACAAAAAGCGCTCTTTAGGGTTATTGATTGCAGGTCAACTGCTGTGCTGGCCACTGGCGCGCGAAACGTTCATCAACAAATTCCAAGTAGACGGCCGATCAACGTGGATGAAAGATGTTCAAAGTCTCTCCTCCGAATCAATTTCGCATCCCGCGTCGTTCTGGCCCTTACTCACGGATCTCTCTCGCTCTACTGCCCGTTTGCTCACTTCTCTCCGCACTTGTTCTCGGAACTTCCGACTCGGAAGACAAACTCGCTCGTTGGAACAAGTAGAGTTTCTTAGCGCCGTCTGGCAGGTGGACTCCGGAAACGACGAACTAAATGCGAAGGGTGGCGCCACATTTGAAGTTTCGGAGAGATCAAGAGAGAACCCCAAGTAAACACTTCTCTAACGCAACCGTCAGCAGGTGTCAGCGAAATAACAAATTCGAGTATGTTTCTCGCACAAAAAAAAAATATTCTCAGCAGTTTTCTTTCTTTTTATAATTTTAATTTATAAATAACGATCGCGAAACAAAATTGACACAGACCTTCAAACTATATACACGTGCGAATTTGAATACAAGTGCACACATATTCTACCAATGAGATGCGGGTTGTAAAATTCCCTAAACAATATGGCGTCTTATTCCACATGTCATGATTGACTTCTCTTTTCAGCATAGATATGTACGAAAACTATTTCGAGTTATTCTACCGTATCTGTACAGTATGTAATTTGCGCTTCAAGATTTATATATATATATATAAATTTGATATACAGTTTGTAATTGTTTACAATTGTTTTCTATTTATCACAATGGAAGATTTGTATTTACATGGATGCACAAAACAAAATTAATTGACAACTTGTAAATGATAACTTATATGAATGACAAAGTACAGAGCGGAAGTGTTTTAGCTCTGTCGCATTATCAGGCTGAGAGATTTCATTGTTGCGTTTTTCTTATCGTATCGACAAAAATGTTGAATATATTCACTTATCGGTTACATATCGAATAGAAGTTATTATAGAATACACATTATTGAATCTATATATAGACTTTACGGAACTATTCGATAGCTATTCAAATTTGTGTGATACGAAGAAAACGCAATGACGAAATCTTCTGGCCTTTGGTTTATTAAAAACTTGAAACTAATTCAAGTGAATGCTCAGCACTTATTTCTTATCACGTCTAGTCTTTTTAAATAGATTATTTTTACAATTATTAATAAATAAAGCTCAAATACAAATAATATGTTAAAAATTCCTTGGTCTCAAAAATACTTCAGATCTCGATTAAAATGACTACTCATCAATCATCTTCTAAAGTCTCGCTACTCTCCTCGTCCCCCAGAAAAATTGTATTTTGTTTTTCCGGAAACAGAGTCTCTTGGCTCAGAGCCGGAACTTGGCGAGAATACGCGCTGGTTGCCCACAAAAACAAATCCAAAGTTTGTTCCGTGCACTCTGCGATAAATCTCACGAATGGTCTTATGTCTCCGTCGTTCGCTATTTGTAAATTCTCGTAATACTTATGACGATGTTGCTTATGAATGATAACAGGCGGATATCCGGCTTGCATGAGAATCATATTCATGAGCAAGCGGGACGTTCTGCCATTTCCATCGGCAAACGGATGGATGTGTACTAATTTATAATGCGCGAGAGCCGCGTATCTGCGAAGAAACATTTATCGATCAATTTCTCGTGCGTGTAAGTTTCAAACAGAATTACGCGTGAGAAAAAAAAACAAATTTGATTTACTTCACTGGATGCATTCTGATAGCTCGCTCGCTGTTTAACCATAGCGCGAACTCTTCCATCAAATAATGTATGTCATCTGGACCAGGAGGTATGTGACCACCAACGTACACTTGAGTCCTTCGGAATTCACCACCTTCGACAGGATCTACATGTCCCAACACACGTCTGTGTATCTCCAGTATATCTTTTATAAAAATGGACCCTACTCTAAAATTTACAGAGAATAGCAAAACAATGACAATAAATGTATTTACGACGATCTACCGCATCATGTCAAAACTTGCCTGTTGACCAAGGTCGCATTGATATATTTCATGGCGGCGTCTAATCCGAGGATTTCATTGTGTTCATCAATACTTTTCCCAGCAACGGCAATGCGTGTTTCAACTATAGCTCTTGTCTGCGCAAGATTCATAGTGTTCCCTTCAATTCCAACTGTGTGATAAATGTGTTGAAAGTAAGCCTCTTTCTTGGCACGTATCAATGCAGCATCGTGTTCAGGTATCGCCGACAGTGCATTTCTCTTTTCATCAAGACGTCTGAGCATTCTTTTGTCAAGTTCCTCAACAACACGAGCTGTTCTCTGACTGTTTATCAAAGCGCCTTCGTGATTGGGCTCGTAAGTTAAAGCGCGCACGTAAAACTCGTTGGCTTTAATCACATTGTTTTCAGTGTACTCCAAAAATTCTCCATAGTGATTCAAGATATCCGGATGGCGAGGCGCCAGTGCCATCGCATGCTGAAACAACTTTATAGCTTTCTTCTGCTTGCCGGACATTTTCATATCCAACGCCAGATGCAAAGACGTCAGAGCCTCCGCTGTTGACGTGGCTGTATCCTGAATTTCGATCACTTTACCGAGTTCGGTACTGCCCAGCGAATCGCTGAGCGTGTTGTCATCGTAAACGTTTAAGAAACTTTCTGCGGGAAGAGGAATGAACACTTTTGAAGGAGAGTCTGGAAAGAACAAACGATGCTCCATTGAAACTTAAAAAGCGAATACTGTGTAATCGATACCATAATATTATTAATAAATAATCAATATCATTATAGAATGGCAGAACATCGGTGTGAAAAAATCTTCACTCACTTGCAGCATCGATAGACAAACCGCGTAGGTATCGTGACAACAACGTGCCGATCACAGCAAATGCAATTCCAGCGACAAAGATGAGAGGAAAAACGAGACGGTTCGTTGGTATAACATCCATAGCATCTTTGCGTTTGGCGTTTATATGAACAACATTCGCATAATACTTGTAAATCTCGTAAATATACACCGGCATCTTTCTTCCCTTAGTTTCTCGTAATCCTTGACGGCGATTTGTATCATGCTTACCTCTCGTATCCGGCTACAACGCTACTTCAGCTTACGCGCTCAGCTGACGCAACGCGTCTTGTCCCTCTCAACCTCCCACGAGTCAACTCGAACGCGTCCATGTGGTTCATCTCGATTGGCTGTGACAAGGGGTGCGTTCAGACAACTCAACGGTTGAGAGATCATCACTTATGATAGGACTATTCTTCAAAATCTGATGCGGTTCCAAAAGTATGATCCAATCAGAAGTGATTATCTCTCAACCGTTGTGCAACTGTTGAGTTGTCTGAACGCACCCAAGGACGCGTTCCAATATTTACTGTCAGTACCGAAAACGTATAATACATGTGGTGTCAATTATAGGTCGCGCGTTCAGCAAAACACTTGCTGAGTTATCCATCTCTTGTAAACAAAACCCGACGTTGATTGTTGGTTCTAAAAGTAAGAACCAATCACGATTCGATTGCTATAAAAGCAGCTTGTTCTGCTGAACGCGGCGAGTTTTTTTGAAACGCAGACAAAGTCGGAGGATCTCGTGACCAGTCACGAGCGTTTCTCCGTCTTTCCGTTCCGCCGGTTTCGCTCATTCCGTTGTCCCGCGCTTTTCTCCGTCGCCATTTCGTGCTTTGTCATTCGTCGCTTCCTACCTTCGACTGCGTCACTTATTGACTGCTACTGTTGGTGTTTTCATGCCGTAATAAAGGTTAACCTGCGCCTCCATCGACCAAACGGCAGAAAAGTTGAACGTAAAAGCGAGCAACAATGGGTGCGTTCAGACAACTCAACAGTTGCACAACGGTTGAGAGATAATTACTTCTGATTGGATCGTACTTTTGGAACCTAAGCAGATTTTGAAGAATAGTCCTATCATAAGATGATGATCTCTCAACCGTTGAGTTGTCTGAACGCACCCAATATCAAAAAGTAAGTCTTATTGTTTACACACGTCAATAGGAATTTATTGGAATATGTTCACTTTGTCACAGAACAAGATCCGCAAACTCAACGCGAGATGTATCTGTTTATCGAAAGAAGTAGCACCGCAACGACGACGCCTTCGAATCAAAAATACATAGTTGGCGGCTTTCCTCAGGCAGCTTCTTCTTCGGACGGCTTTTTTTCAGACCGGCTTTTGTTTCAAAAAGTAAGTCTTATTACGTGTTAATTAGATATTACACGATGAAATATATACAATTTGTCACAAAAGAAGTTCCGAAACTTCTCCGATTAGTAAAAATCCATCACCGATAATAATTACATATGCCAGCACCGCGATGATCGTCTCTGATGAGAATTCATTGTTTATTTAGTTACATCGCAGATCATTATACAAATGACGAATGTGCACATAAATAATAAATATCAAACATTAATTTTTTTAATGGAAGTGCTTCGATACATTTTTTTCTGCAGTTTTTGATACTTTTGCTTTTATGAGTGTGTATTTGTGAGCGATTCAACATAAATAAATCGCTCAATAGAATCTTGATGTACAAAAGTAACTATTGTTACGCTACTAATTGTTCGAAAAATATGATAAAGATGTCATTCTTGCGTTCAATTGTGTTGAAAAGATAGCTTCAAGTATCTCTTCTAGTTCTCGTTCTTGCACTTCCAACACGATATCGCCATGATGGCGTAAGCAGTTTTTTATGTAAACTTTCCTAGAAAATATAACAGATAAATAGTGCAAAATAGAAAAAAATCGAGTATCGTTTGATTGAAATGTAAATTTCTTTCGAAAATGCTAAGTTCTAGGACATGTACAATTTCGATTTCTTTTTTACTTTTCCAACAAACAAAATTTTGTGTAAAAAAAAGATTCTTACTTTAATTCGCGAAGTGGGCGTACTCTCGTTATTACTAACACGCGAATAAGTTCGCAAAGTCGAGGAACTGGAAGGAATAACATCGTAATTCACTTCACACATTCTACTAACACTTTGCTTCCCCAATTTTTTGGCAATCGTGAATGAATTTCTTAATTTGCTCGTTTCGTCTCTAGTATCATTAAACAACAATTAACTTTGTTTATAATTGTCACGCGGCAATGGAATATTTCTTCTATCGAATTGTTTTTTATCACCTGTTGAATTGGCGATCCGAAATTCTGTCGTCCTGACTTTTCATCAATTGCAACGTGCGACCAACGTGCCGAGACGACACGGTGACCGCGTTGCGCCCAATTCCCTGAAAAGAATAAGGAATTGACAATAAAACTAACGGACACGTCACGCGATCGGAGTAATTATAAGTTTGGGATAGCGGAGAAAACGGAAGACGAGTTTTTTTTTTTTTTTTTACGGAATTTCTTTGCTCCGCGGAAGAAGAATGATGGCCGTTTCCGGAACGGCACCGCCAGTTCCATGTCGCGGAACCGGGTAATGATGATTTCTTGACAGCTCGATCTTGCACCTGGCCGCGTCGTATGATAATTACGCGATCAAACCCATTGTCTGGGTTTCTGGATGTGCCGTTTTCAAAATTACCGTTTGTCGTTCTGTATGAATTATTTAACAAACAAATATTTGAATAATTCTTAACGGAGCTATTTTACGAAAAGATGGTGTTGTTTTCTACGGACAAGTTTTGCAATTGCGTATATTTCACCATCACCTAATAGTCATCGGCGACGAAGATACGTCTTCGGTTCGGCTCGCAGAATTTCGAAGGATTCGCGGTGCTAACTGACAAGCGGCAGCGTTTGACCGCAATTTGTGCTCTCTGTTAAAAGAATGAAATATATTCGGGTGTAATTATAAAATAATTTTTGTCGAATCTCTCTCACGTTTTTTTTTTTTTTTTTTTATTATACATTCTTCTTACTTGATGTTATACATGCCGCCGATTTCTCCGTACTTTCGTTTCGTTATTTCAGCCTCGACAACAGCCACGGTCGTTCGCATCACCGTCGCGATCTCGGTCATCATCTGCAACAATCCGACGATGCAATCACCTCGCACGGCATTTCGTATAACGTTACCAATCGGCATGTTTTTTTAAGGCAGATGTAAAAAACTGCAAAATACACTTTTTTCTTCTTTCTCCTTAGAATTTCTCGTGTTGAAATTCTACGATTACAATATTGAGGATTTTTAACATCTACTTTACCGCGAGATGATCGGAAACGTTCAAATCGTTGTCAGAGCAAAGGTGAGGATTGCTGTTAGACGACGCGAGGATCCACGGATGGTCAAGGATCTCACGAATGGTGATTCTCTCGCGAACAGATGGGACGAGCAAGCGATTTATCAAGTTTCTGCACTCGATCGATGTTTGACACATGGCCTTTTCTTGGATCGACGTCAAGCCCCTGTTGATCTGAATCATCAACTTCCGTCGACGTTCCTCGGACGACATCCACTCGTCGCGAGAACACAGAAATGGAAGTTGACCGATGACCATAACGTACAGAACGACTCCTCTGTTTGTCGTACATTGTTGTATAATAATTTAACCATTGGGACACGTTACAAGTTTTTATAAAAAACGTTAAAAGTTTTTATTAATTGAAAAACAATCTCTTTCAGCGCAAAAAAATAAAATGTTCAACAAAAAAAAAAAAGAAAAAAATATACGTTTGCTTACAGGCTCCACAAATCCACTTCTGGCCCATATCGTTTACCCACAACAAATAGCTCGGGAGCTGCGTACTCCGGAGATCCGCATTGCGTTCGCAGAAGATTGCTGTTGGTGTAGACGTTGCTGAGACCGAAATCTGCAATCGTGGAAGACAAGCGTACCGGTGAGTGATTGTTGTCAAAAGTTATAGACTTAGAATCTAATCCCGCGATGCAATTGAGGCTTGATAAAAAAAAGTAACGGATGTCACGTGTTTCCGCATATACATTATGTATAAACCGCGGGTAGTTACATTAAGAATACAAATTTTTTTTTACGCAAATTCTCGCCAGACTTAGATCTGATTTTACGCTCGAAAATCCGGGGTCACGCGAGCCAGAAACATTACGGTTGCGATTTTCGCGATGCACGCTAATCTAAGCGTTTCGATCGATGTGTGGTGATTGCTACAATCGCCGAGTCGATCGTAACGTTCTTTCGTCCCGCGTGATACGCCTCGTATACACACGTCTGGCCTCTCACCCACAATCTTGATTTGTTCCTTGCGTTCGTTCTGTAACACGATGTTCTCCATCTTGAGGTCTCTGCAACAAGCAAAAATACAAACGTCCTTGAATAAGAGGACACATGTCAATGTATGAGAAATTTGCAATAAACTGCAATCATTATTAATTTGCTTTTTTAAATAAGAATAGAATATATTATTTAAAATGTCATTTTTTAGCAAATAAAAACTTAATATTTATGGCCGAGGTGATATTTTTCTCAATTTTTATATCGGACGGGAGGGGAAATAAGAGAGATATACATATGAGATGCCAGTGTAAGCGTCAAAATATTTATTTAAATTAAAAAAAAAAACTACATATACATGCAATATAAATATATAATAAATTTTTTAAAACAAATTTATGTAATTAAAAATTATACTTATTTATTTTGCATTGACTTTTGTAGAAATCTCATACGTATTCTTACTTTGTTAACAATTTATTTATTTATATATTATATATTTTATATATTTGAAAACGGGCAATTTACATATGTATATTCTTGCATGATGGATGCGCTTTGACGAATACAGAATTGATTCTTTCTTAAGATGTCGATAAGGTAATGATTATGCAGGCGCTGATTGCGCGGGCGCACGCGAGAAAAAGGCCGTATGCATGTGCGAACACATCGTCGTTCATACAGGCAATATGCGTATGCAGTTTGTGCGATCACGTAGCGCGTTCGCGAGATTAACGCTCTCGGCGCAAGAACCCCGTGGCCCTGACCATCGCGTGAAGGTCTCGTTGCTCGTGTTGCCCGTCTACGAGCGCGAGCGCGCGCGCGGGGCTCGCGGACCCTGCAAATTGTCGTTTCGTCGACACGACGACGTTCCGACCTTTCGATGATGTCGGATTCCCTCGTTTCTCGATCTCGCACACTCTCTTGACGAGATGTTAACGAAGTGTCCGCGAAAGCTTGTGCATTTCATTCGAGCTCATTTCTCACCGTATCTTATTTCTCACAAAATTTATATTACACGTTATGATATTTTCTTACAAAATAAAGCGACGCAAAAAATTAAACGTCTGCGTGTCTAAAAAAAAAAAACAAAAAAACAAAAAAGTGTGTGTTAAAATTCCTTCGCACAGCGTTTCTGTACACACAAAAGTAGATGTGAGAAAATCGTCGCGTTTTCGCTCGTACGTTCCTTCGGTTATTACGGCGGCATTAGGCGCGAGGAGTGACATCGAAGCTTCTAGCTGTCACCAGGATCAGGCGGCCCTGTAGCTTATCCGTGGCAGAGACCTTGGGACCTTGAAACGCATCATTAAAATCGCATCGCCGTGCGAGCCAGTGAGCGCGCGCTTTGGGTGTCGCTAATAAGTAATAAAAGAGGACTCGCTCCTCTCTCGGAACACGTGCCCGCGGCGAGGTTAATATCGTCACGGGATGCGAGAGGCTTGTTCGCTGGGGTCGTTGACGGAATCTAGAACGTTCGCAGTATTTTTTTTTTTCCTTATTCTGCGAGAGAAAATTTTTCACACTCGAAGGTTTTTGAATCTTCCTAAAGTTTAAGTCCGCGCGAACGCGAACGCTAGTTGCAGCGCAACTGCGTTCGTTTAACGTGATGTAACAAAAAAAAAAAAAAGTGAAGAGTAGAGTTATTTCTTCTTCGCATCGCGTTGTGCGTTTGATCGTATTCGACATTTTTATCTTTGCTAATGCAATTATCTTTGATCATTTGCGGGAGAATATAATGTTGTGTACGTAGAAATCGATTACGTCGAAGCACAACGAAGACTATATCGCGCTGTTCCGATAATCAAAGTGTACTCCGATATCGAAGTATATTAGTTTCGAGCACATCGCGCGGCTCCCCGAGCAATGTTGTTTCTGCTGCATCCTCGACCGCCGCGGGATAATAGTCGAAACGACCCTGAAGCCGAGGCCACGGTTGTTCGTTGGCCTGGGCGATTACGTTTCTTTTACGTCGTCGTGGAAGCGACGCGGCCTGGACAGCTCGCCGCGCAACTCTGTGCGGAACGTGCGCGCGAGTATATACGCGACAAACTTTCGCGACAAATCGCCCGCGCGAGATCCGATTAAAGCTCGCGCGTTCGCAATCGCGAGAGAGAGGGAGAGAGAGAGAGAGAGCATAATTGTCGGCGGTAAAGCGACAGGTGGTCTCTCGCGCGCGGACTCGATCAAAAAATAACAGACGAAACAAAAAGTCGCGGCACACCGGCGCGCTGTGTTAACGATCGCGCGTCCCCTCTTCTCTCGCCACCTCTCGCGCTGAAAATAAACTCGCGCGGCCCGTGACAAAAGTGATCGATGGATCACGACGATCCAGATATTCCCCGCTGATCCACGGGCGAAAGGCACGGGGTGATGATGCGCTCGGATGTTATAAGATGGAGCCACCGGTTGCATTCGGAAAGAACTCGCCTCGTATTTCTCTCTGCGCAGTATTTTTCTATCGTCTGAGATATATGAAGACTTGTTTTGTTGTACGGTTTTTCTGAGTCACAAGAGATCTCTTTAAATATAAATCTGATTTGATTGACAAATTGACACGTCGACGGCAATAATTTGTTAAACTTGGATCGTCATTTAAAATTTTTAATCGCGGTTTCTCAAGATCTAATTTTCAATATGCAACGTTGTGTTCTTAATTATTACGCGACACACAAGCTCGATCCTTTTACGAGTCTGTTACAAAGCGAACAGTTATCTTTTTAAGTATCGCTCTTTTATGTCGATAAGTTAATAGCACTGCCTACCGTATACGTACGTATATGTATGTATACGCACGCACACCTTCTTGTACTTGGTGCATTCGCAGGAGCGATGCACTCGGGCGAAAGAGCGTGTGCGCGCATCCGTAAGTACTTAAATTTAATTGCCGGCCGTGACCCGTTATATTGCGGCGGTTATTTCGGTCTTAATAACCCGGGTCCACCGGAGCTGTCGTTCGGTTGAGCGGGGTCATGTCCGCGTTACGAGTCGCGGAATACGAAACGCGCGGGGAACTCGCAAGGTCGAGACGGAATCGTGGCGCGATTTATGCCTTCTCCCCGCGCATAAATATTCGATGCACGGCGCCGCATTGATACGCGCGCGCGGCCGCTGCGGAATAATAGATAACGAGACATTTGGGATGCGACGCTCGAGGCGAGGTTTTAATAAACCGTCCGGGACTCGCGCGATAAACCAGTCCGCGACGCGCGCGGAAAAATATTCGGCGAGTTTGGCGATGAAGAAAAACACGTGAGCGCGAGATTCGCGTTTCTTTCTGCGCGTTCAGACACACACACACACACACACACACACACACACACACACACACACACACACACACAAAAGATAAACGCTCGATAGTTTAATTGTCCCGAGACAGGTTTCGGAGAAAATTTAAAATGCAAGCTTTTTTTCTAGTGGAATATAAATTGAGCGCAAAATATATCACACTTAAAAATATCGACGGTCTTACAAAAACTCGATACTCGTCGGGCGCGAAGATGAAGATCGCGCGACGACACGTAGTTGCGCCGCGCCGCAGTGCATCGACAGTTCGTCGACCGTGATCTCCTCGTCTCGAAACGAGTGTCTCTCTTATTTTTCCAGCTGGCACCCCGCGCCGATTTCGTGCCGTAAACAGCGAAACAAAAACGGGTTTTTGCGGCTTATCTCGCCTTAATACGCGCCGTTTATCAGCGCGTCGATACGCGCGCAACGTTGTTTATCGGAGGTGAACGATGACGCGAGTATCTCCTCGACCGAATATCGGCGGCTCTTGATCGCTCACTCGCGGCTGTTAACCCCTTCGGCGCTGAAAGTGCACGTTCACACTGGGGATTGAAGCTCCTCGCGACGATTCGGCACAAAACATGCGTGTCTCTTGATCCTTTTCACAATACAAACTTTATATACGTGCGTATGTATTTAGGATTACAATATGATCAACTACAATGATCAGATTTTATTTGCGTTTGCTGTGTAATTTTCTGTTATTACACGGTAAAACGATATTTAATGTTAATTAACGGTCATTTCGCGTTAGAGCGTCGCGGTGTTGCTAAGGTTTTACGTGTAATACCGGGAGAGATTATATAGCTAATGCGCGTAAAAACAAACAATGCACGCCGAGAGGTAATACTCATTAAAGCCGAGATGAATTTTACTTAGGATATTTACGAACGTAATGAACAAACATAATGAACGATACGCGAAAGCTTGTATCAGAATTGCCAATCTGAAGGTAATACGGAACGAATTAAAATTTTAATTATAAAAGTTCGTGTTTATTAGAATAGAAATTTAAATCCGGCTTCAAGTTTCCTTATCCTGCACTTGATTAACTCGAAAGCTATTTATGTACACATGTCTAAGTAGAAGACGCATTCGCGCGCGATTGGGGATGTGCGCTGAGAGAGAAAGAAAGAAAAAAGAGAGAGAGAGAGAGAGCAAGGGTTAAACACATCTCTCGCAGGTAATCGGCGTGATATCGCGATTCGTACGTTGCTTCTCCTCGCGTTGCACATCTTGCGGCTCCTCTCATCGCAGTTTTTTTTGCCCTTAGCAGGGGCCACGATGCGTGGGCGGAAGGGATCCGGCCAGACGAGGTCATCGGCCATTCCTGCGTTTCGTCCTTCTTGTGCACCGCGCGTCTTCGCGGCCACAGACGCGCATAAATTAATCCTCAACGTTTTTTAAGAAGCAACTTTGGTTGTTTCTAATTAAAATAATTCTACAAAATGAAGATCAATGTATCAAACGTGACTAAAACATAAATTATATCTGATAAATGTCTCTCTCTCTCTCTCTCCGTTTATAAGACAGAACACGAGGTTGAAATCGTAAAGTAAAAAAAGATAGCCGAATGATGATATTTGGTTCTATACACACTAAGACACTTCATGGAAAAAAGCTCTCTAGTATCTATTTATATGCAAGAAAAAACCTGTATCATGTGTCTGTGTGTGTACGCGTGTGTGAGGCTGTTTATCTTTATTATTACTCGCTTCGGCTCTATGGGAGATATAGCTGTTATCGTTTATGTGTATCAAGTCTCAAACGATCGTTCCAA